AAGAAGTTAAACAGCAGGATGACAGAAGTGGAGCTCAGTCAGCCCCTTCTTTCTCATTCCTTTAAAAAATTGATATACAACTTATATGTACTAAAATTCACCCTTTTAAGGTGGACAGTTCAGCAGTTTTCAGTATATTCACAACATTGCACAACATTCACAACAATGTGTACTTCTAGAACATTTTATCACCTCACACTATACCCCAGGCCCATGAGTGGTCACTGCTATCCCCTCCTCCCACAGCTCTGCACAACCACTAACGACCTTCTGTCTCCGATTTGCCTGATCTGGGCATTTCACAATGGAATCATACAATCCACTTATGTGTTCCGTTTTTGAGGTTCATCCGTGTTGTGGCATTCTCACTACTTCACTCCTTTTCATGGCTGAGTAATATTCCCTCTTGGGAAAGACCGCACTTTGTTTATCCAGCCGTTGGCTAATGGGCAGTTGGGTTATTCCGCCTTTGGGCTGTAGTGAGTGATGTTTTTCATTTCTCTGGGTTTGGTTTTCCCAGTAGCTCTTTGCAGTGGCCAGCTGTCTCCATTCCTCTAGCATGGCTGTTTGGGAAGCGAGAGGAAGCAGAGCCCAGCGTGGTGGCTGGCAGGAGGCTGGTGTCCGGGGAGACGCAGATGCCGACAGGGGAGGGAGGGAGGGCTTAGCCCTGGCCCACTGCCATCTGGTGGGAGGTGGGTATTTCCCCTGTGGATTATTAACCATCGATTATGATCCTGAAAGTAGATCCCTGGGGCTAGAATTGGTGCTTAGTTGAGATGCCAGAAATGTTTTCAAAGACATTTAAATGGTCCTGGACCCTTGGTTCTCTCTTTACAAGGAGACCAGATCGCCATTTTATGAGTCACGGTAACAGTAAAGATGACGATGATGATGATAATAATAATGGTCTACATTTATATAGGTCTTTATTTTTCATTTCATAGCCATTACTTTTAATTCCTTAGAACCTTGTCACCCCCATCTGCAGATGAAGGAACTGGGACACAGAAAGGGGAGATGACCAAGGTCACACAGTGGGATAGCAAGAAGAGCCAGACTTGAACCCAGGAATCTCTTGATTCGTGGGGTGGGCATTTTCATAGAAGTGTGTGAGGGATGATGGCTGCAAGGGTCTCAGATGGTCTGAGGCAGAGCCAACAGAGGTTGAAGTGAGAACCCTGGATGCCTGGGTGCTGAAAGTGGGGTCCTTGTCCTCAGGGCCTGTCCAGTTCCCTATAAACAGCCCCGTTTGGATGACTTGTCTTTTGGTTTTTCAGCTTCCCCTCCAGGCTCTTTGATCATTTCCTCCTGAGATTTGCATTTGGCCAAAGGATTTGCATTTGGCTAAAGCCAGTTAGCACCTCTCCTGGCCTCCCTAAGCCCTCCCCGACCACCCAGGCTCTGGGAAGGAACCATGGATACAGGAGCTCAGTGCCATGTGGATCTAGGAGGGAGGCACGCTGAGTGGGCAGTGCCCTGACCCCCTTAGGCAGGAGGAGGGCTCCTGTCCAGTCCATTCACACCTGCTCTTACCCCCCTTCTCTTAGCTGAGTGAATGGTCTTCCTTTCTTCCTCGGCCTTCTCTCTGCCCTCCTTCCCCCTCCGCCCCTCCCATCACCAGCCCCTCCTCCTGTGTGTCCCTGCGTGGGTCCGGACCCCGAGTCCTTAGAGCTGCGTGTGGGCATTTGGCTGTCTTGGTTGAAGGGGCAGTTTCCATTCTCACTGATACATGTCAAGATCCCTGTGGGCTGCTAGAAAGATGTTACAGAGACTAGTGAGGGTCCCACCTCTGCTAATAATTTACTCTTTTTAAATATATATATATATATATATATATATATATATATATATTTATTTTTTTTTTTTTTTATTGATTTTACAGAGAGGAAGGGAGAGGGATAGAAAGTTAGAAACATCAATGAGGGAGAATCATCGATCAGCCGCCTCTTGTACACCCCCTACTGGGGATGTGCCCGCAACCAAGGCACATGCCCTTGACAGGAATTGAACCCGGGACCTTTCAGTCCACAGGCTGATGCTCTATCCACTGAGCCAAACCGGTTTCAGCAATAATTTACTCTTTACGTATAAAAATTAGATCAGATTCAAGGTCACCCCATGATAGACTCAGGTCACTCTCACCTACTCATGTGTGACATTTGCCTGAGAAAGGGCCGGGATTACTGTCTTATCTCAGTACCAGTCCATAGCCGGGCTGGCTGGCTGTCCTTGGGAGGGTGGCTGACACTTAAATGTCATTGGTGGTGGAGGCTGGGGGCAGGACAAGGTGGGGCCCAGCTGACCACAGCAGGGGCGCGAGGCTGAAGCAGGGATTTATTTCATCCTTGTTTTGGGTCCTCTGGTTACAAAGCCAAGGCTAGAGCCTGGGACGTGGGCAGCGTTTTTGTTTCCTAGGGCTGCGGTAACCAAGTAGCATCAAGGAGGGTGGTGGGTTTGAAACAACAGACATTTACTGCCTTCGTCTTGGAGGCTGGAAGTCCAAAGTCAAGTGTCAGCAGGGCCAGGCTCCAAGCATCGCGTGGGAAATCCTTCTGGTGGGAGACACCCTGTGCTCCCACTTGATAGTCCTCACTGCTCCCTGGAGGTGACTCCAGCATCCGGGGCACACAGGCTGGCGCAGGGGAGAGGGGCTCAGTCTGGGAGGGTTTGGTACAGGGGCGGGGGGAGGGGAGGGGACTTTGTCTGGGATGCAGGGACCTTGGAAAAGAATGGCATCTGCTCTGGTCTCACGGGAGTGGACATCGTGTGCCTTATGGACAGACCCATGTACACGGGCGTCCCCTGATCACAGGTGTAACACCTGCCAGGATTGCCCTCCCCTAGAGTTTGTGTGTTTGGAGAGCCAGGGCAGCTACTGGTCAAGTTCGCCCACAGGCCACCTCCAGGGGAGTAGGCAGAGGCCCTCAGCTAACCCGCAGGTGTCCTATAGACTCTGATTTGGGGGGGGGGGCTTGCCTCCCTTCCCTCCCTGCATGCATTTTCCTACTAGGCTCCCAGCCCCTGAGGGGAGCTGCCTTCCTCTGTCCTCACCTCAGGGGACCTGAGGGTGGTGCTCTTCATCCCTTCTCTTTCCCAACCACGGCTCTCAGGGGTGCAGCCCTGGAGGAGGGACTGTGGCTGCTTGTGAGAAGGCAGAGTGGCAGGAGGCGTGGGCCTGAGTGGACCCAGCCCTGTCAGGCCCACAGGCAGGGGAGGGCCGGAGTAGCCAGGCTGGGTCCCATTGTGGAAGGGAAGGTTGGTGGTTGTGGCGGAGAGCTAGAAGAAGCTGCGTTCATTCGTGTGTGTGTGTGTGTATGTGTGCATGCCTGTGTGTGTGTGTGTGTGTGTGTGTGTGTGTGTGTGTGTGTGTACATGTGCTGAGTCTTGACCCTGCTGGTTCTTAAGCTAGCTATAGTCTGGTTCAGGAGGGAGACCCTCTCTCCAGCCATCAGAATGAGGTAGGCCAAGGTCAAAGAAGGAGGAAAGCCCGGCTTCATGGTTCAGTAGTTGAATGTAGACTTATGAACCAGGAGGTCATGGTTCGATTCCCGGTAAGGGCATATGCCCGGGTTGCTGGCTCTATCCCCAGAAGGGTTCATGCAGGAGGCAACTGACCAATGATTCTCTCTCATCATTGATGTTTCTATCTCTCTCTCCCTCTCCCTTCCTCTCTGAAATCAATAAAAAGTATATTAAAACACACACACACACAAAGAAAGGAGGAGGAAGGCAGATGGAGGAGCCAGAGGGTGAGTTGGCAGGATGGGGTTAAGGGTCATAGGGAGCCTGTCCCAGCCAGATGTCCACGCAGCCTCCTTATCGTGCTTCCTGGAGGACAGGCTGCGGGGCAGGCAGGGCTTGTGTCAGGGTGGACAGGGCCCATGGCCCCTGGCCTGGCTCCTCTTAGTCTGGGCCTGTCTGGCTGAGAGGAGCTGGGACAGGGTGGTGGCCGGGGCCCGGGACAAGGTGTGCTCTGGGCAGAGGGGTGGGCTTCTCTCATGAAGGAGGTTGGGGTTGGAGCTGTGACCCCCTTTGGCAGCACGTGGGCTGGAAAGCAGTGCAGAAGCATTCTCTCGAGCTGGCAGGGGGTGTTCCTTGGTCATTTAAGGGGGACCAGGTGTTGGGCTGGCCCAGCAGCTTCAGGCTGGGGCTCTGGAAAAGGAAAACATTTGCAAAGTTGGGCTTGGATGGTTCTTCCTGATCTTTTAAGGCTCCTCATACTGTGACCCTTGCCTTCCCTCCCGTCCCAGGATATAACTGGGGCACGTCAGGGACGCCAGAGTCCCTCGTCCGGGGACTCCCCGGGGTTCTGCCCAGCTGGCCATTGCATAACCACTGCCCTGAAGTCTTATCCGGCTGCAAACATTCTGCCTGGAGATCAGACTGTGCGCCAGCACTCCCTGGTCACTGGAAGGGCCAGATGGAAAGTGGAGGGTGTGTGAGAGCGGGGAACCTGTCACAATCATGTTGTCATGGCGACACAACTCTGTTTAGCAGTCTCCCCGTGGCCCTAGCCCACAGGGACTAAAATAAGTTTTACCTGCAGCTCACACTGCAGGCAGCCCCTCCACCCAAGGCCAGCTGCCTAGCTGGGGTGCGTGTGCGTGTGTGTGTGTGTGTGTGTGTGTGTTGAGGGACGAAGGGGCCACCCCTTGCCCCTTCTTTTCCACCCAGCCCCACCAATCCTGTATCTCTTTAGTCCCGTGGCTCTAGAACCACCTGGAAAGATGGTTAAAATGCACATTCCCGGGCCCCGTCACCCGAGAGTCCCAGGGTGCACCTGAGAATTTGCATGTCTTGTAAGTTCCCGCTGCTGGAGCAGGGATCACATGGGGAGCAGCCCTGCTCTGCGTTTTACTCCATCGCAGTCAGGAGGTGCACCCACTCTGGTTTGCTCAGTGTGTGTCGGACGGTGCCCCCAAGCCCAGTGCTTTGGAGGAGCGGAGACGGTGCAGGCGGGCCCCCCCTCACCTCTCCTGTGTTCTCTGGCCTCCTCACAGGAAGCAGGAGCTGGCCAACAGCTCGGATGTGGCCCTGCCGGACCGGCCGCTGTCCCCTCCTCTCACGGCGCCTCCCACCATGAAGGTAAGAGGCTTAGAGCTGGGGAGTGGGGAGGGGTGGGGAGAGGGTGCCGCTGAAGGCTCTGCTTTGTTTCTGCACCCAGCCCAGCTGCGCCTGCCCAGTGAGGGCACGGGGTGCCCAGCCTCCTCTGGAAGCAGCATCCCCCTGAGCTCAGCAGCGCGCGAGGGAGGTGTGACTGGGACTCAGGGGTGTTAGGTGAGGAAATAGACTGGGCTGAGGGGGGCTGGTGGGAAGCTGGGTAATCAGTGAGAGGCCCTGTGGAACGGTGGGGTTCCAGAACAAGGGCCCCAGGCAAGAGCAAGTGGGAGAGGTTTAGAGTGTAGCTAAGGGGCTACTGCCCAGGCGGACTGCCAGGGCCTGGGGATGAGAAAGGAGGGGTCCCATGGACTGGGACCTTCCTGGTTCTTTTTTTTTTCTTTTTCTTTTTTTTTTCCCTTTAAGACATTTTAGATTTGGCTTTTAAATTGATATCAGAGCGGAAGGGAGAAGGAGAGAGAGAGAATCATTGATCAGCTGCCTCCTGCCCACAACCTGTGACCTCTTGGTTCATAGGTCAATGCTCAACCACTGAGCCACACACTGGTCAGGCCTCTCCTGGTTCTTGAATGGAACTTGCACGCAGGTCTACTTGCCTCCAACTGGCCTTCTTGAGCTGGCCCTGTCACCCCGGTACCTGTAGGAGAGTTGCCTTAGAGGTTCTGAGTGATTCTTTTCCTGTTAAACATTTTATTCACAAGTCTCTCTCCTGGGAAACCACATCCCTGGTCTCTAGGCCCAGGCCCATCTCATTTCTGGAAAGGGGTTGAGGGGGCAGCACCCTTCCCCCCATTATGCCCCTCCCCCTTTACCCTAGTCCCCCTTGGTGGCATGGTCACCCACACCTGATGTGGTCCTCAGGGAGGAATTGGCTCAGGCAGTGTCCCTGCCTAAGCAATGCACTTCCCTCCATCTCTCCCTCCCTTGCATTTTGCCAGGTGAGGACTAGCTTTGAAGAAGTCGCTCCTTCCTGAATCAGCTGAGGGGACATGTAGGCCAGCCTCTGGCTCTGTCCTGGAGCTCTGCTGTGAGGTGACTCACAGGGAAATAGGGCTCTTCTCTCCCCTGATCCGGAACTTGTAGTCTAGCCAAGGAGACAAGAGTTGGAAAAATAATTTTAAGAACGAAGGATGGATAGTTCGGTGTGATGATCCTTAGGGCTGCTCTCTGCTGCACCCCCTCTTCCCTGACCTAATCTGTTGCAAAGTGATACCCCCAAAGAAAGCAGGTAAAAAACCACCTTTCCATTATCATCCATATTAAATGCCCACCGTGCACAGAGCTGTGTGGTAAGCACTGAGGGGCAATATCACTGAATGGCAGCCAGTGCCTGCCCTGGTTGGACTAGGGTTCAGGAGTGGGCGGGGCATAGGGCTGACTGAGGACCTCTCTGCTCTTCTCCTTGTGGGTACCTTAGGGGGCACTGACAGCCAGAGGACCTTCATCAGCCCAGTCGCAGTGCTGGCATCTGAGCCAGGGGCTGGGTGGCTTGTTTGCACAGCGGATTGAGAAGCCTGTGGCCATTGTGAGGTTCAGCACGTTGGTTTGCAAGATGGGGTGCGGGGTGCTTGTCTCTGTGCTCATGGATGGCGGGAGGGAGTGTGCAGGGAGAACTCTGCAAGTTTCCTAGGACGAGTCATTGAGTCCTCCTGGCAGTCTTCAGTTGCTCACATGCTCATGTAATTCATTCAACACCCAATATTTATTTGAATGTTGTATTAGTCAGGACTCTTGGTTTCAAGGGACAGAAACATAACTCACTTTGGCTTAAGAATAAATGGGAATTTATTGCCTTCATAATGGCTTTCTACTTCTTTGCTGTATTGGTTTCATTTTTTTTTTGTTAAACTCTGTCTCTGTGATGACAGGAATGTGACAGCTGCTCCTACTTGCTAAGTGAAGAGTCTCTTTTCCCCAGTAGTTCTAACAAAAGGCCCAGGGAGGAAGCTCATTGGCCTTGCTTAGGTCACGTGTCTATCTCTGAACCAATCATTATAACCAGAGAGATGGAAGGCTCTGACTGGCTAGACTTGGCCTCATCTCCACCACCTAAACCCTAAGGACCAAGCGTGGGAGAGAGGTGGCTCCTCAAAGGGAAATTCAGGTGTTATGATGAGAGGAATGCTGACCATGTGGCATTGTGGTCCTTGTTGTGGAATTGTAGTCTAGCTAGGGAGACAAGAGTTGAAAAAAATAACTTTAAGAATGAGGGGTGGACAGTTCGATATGAATATCCCAAAGACGTACAGCATAACAGGGGAACAGCGTAAGCTCTGTGGAGGGGGAATCTAACCTAATCTGGGAGAGTGTCAGGGAGGGCTTCTTTGAGGAAACTATGTTTAAGCTGAACCCTGAGAGTTGAGTAGGAGCCAACTGAGGGTGGAGGAGGGTGTTCTAGGTGCTTCCTACTCAGTAAGGCCAGGAGACCACAAACACCTACATTACTTGGGAGCTCCGTAGAAGTGGAGAATTTCAGGCCTCCCCCCAGGCCACTGGATCAGAATCTGCACGTTAGCACCATCCCCATTCATATGTACTTTACACTCAGGAAGCCCTGCTGTGGTCTCTGAAATGCTCTGCGGCAGGAGAGCCGTGGCTTCTCCAACCAGAAGACCCGCGTGGCCGGAGCACCCACGGTTAGGGATGAGGGACAGACCCTTGGAGGTTCTGCTGAAGATATCGGGCTTCTTCCTGCCGAAGGGCAATGAAGTCATGGAAGGTTTCAGTCGGAGGAGTAAGATGATGGGGAAGATCACCGTGGCTGTTGTGTGGAGAGGGTGTAGAAAGGAGCAGAGTGGAAAGTGGGAGGTGAGTCGGGAGCTTCTGCAGGAGTCCAGTGAGGAGAGGATGGTGGCCTGACTCTGAAGGGCCTGGGAGGTGATTTGGGAACAGTCAGATCTCAGATTTCCAACCGGTAGACTGTAGGAAACAGGAGGATCTGGGAGAGGTGGGATCCACTGGACCAATGGTACAGCCATTGTCTGAGATGGAGGGACCCGGAAGGGAGGGCGAGGGCTTGGCTTCTAAGTGCTGGGTTGGACATATTTGAGACACGAAAGGGGATGTCAGTGAGTAGCTGGGTATTTTGGGGGCCAGGTTTAGAAGGAGGGTCTGGACTGGAGGTAAAAATCTGGTCCTTTTCATAGAGATGGGATTGAAGCTTGGGGTGGGGTGGGGGTCATGGGGCAGTGAACTCTCCAGGGAGAGGATGGAGTAAGAAGATTCCTGGGATAGCACCTGGGGGGACTCAGGGCTGGTGTGGAGGAGGCTAGACACACAGTGAGAGGAACATTCCCAAAGGAGGGGCGGCTGGCGGCTGTGTCCGCTGCTCTGAGAGGCCAAGTACAGTGCGCAGTGCACAGTGGCCTTGGGGCTGAGTGCCCAGGTTGCTGCGGCTGATGTAACTGAGAAGGGCTGTGGGGAGGGAGGGAGGAAGGTGGGTGTGTGAGGAGCAAGTGGAGATGGTGAGGGAGTCAGAGGGTCTAGACAACGCTTGTGAGATGGGAGGCTTGAGCGTGTGGAAATGCTGGAGGGGAGGGAGCAGGGTGTACGGAGACACAGGAGAGGGGGGGGATGATGGAGAATTTGGAGCACAAGGAAGACATTATTAGTTAACATTGACTCATGAAAAAAGTTATTTATGAACATTTGCTATGTGCCGGGCCTACTTTGCTCTGGCCAGCACAAGGGTCCGGCCAGCTGTCAGGGGTTAAGGCTGGCCTGCGTGAGACTCCAGGCAGCCTCAGAGCAGAGCAGCCACCTGCAGGAAAATCTTAGTGACCCACCGTCAGAAGGCAACCCTACCCCGGAGAGCTCTGTCCTTCTCTTTGAACTCAGCTCAGGAATTTCCCAGCCTGTGACTTGACTGTCCAAAGCCCCAAGACCAAGGTTAAGGCTGGGAACTCAGAAAGATTCGAGGGGTTGCCCTGGGGACTCACCCTTGGTTAGGACCCTCCTGTGGTTGGCATCGGGAGGTCAGTGTGTGGTATACCTGGATTTAGGGGTCTCTTTGTGATTGTCATTTGGGCTTATTCTGTAGTTAGATGCTGGTCCATGGCTAGGACTTTAAAAAAATTCTCATCTGAGAATGTGTTTTTATTGATTTTAGAGAGAAAGAAAGGGAGAGTGAGAGTGGGAGATAGATAGATAGATAGAGAAACATTGATGTGTGAGAGAAGCATCTATTAGTTATCTCCAACACTTCCAACACTTGCCCCGACCAGGGATTGAACCTGCAACCTAGGTATGTGCCATGACCGGGAATGAAACCCAAAACCTTTTGGTGTACAAAAGGTTGATGACCCTCCAGCTAAGCCACACTGGCCAGGGCGGGACATTTTTTTCTCTTTGTGCAAAGCAAACTGATCCATGTGGGACTTAAAACCACCACCCTCACTTACCTCACCAGCCTGCTCACCACAGAGGGAGGGCCCTTGGTGGGACGGCACTTACCAAGTCTGTGGCTGGCTGCGCGAAGCTTCTCTCCATTGAGTTCCTGGAGGCAGCAGTTGTCCTGCCCTGCAGGCCCCGGTCCTGGCCGGGGAGGCTGGGTGGCAGCTGTTTGTGGTGTGATGACCGGAGGGACGTCCAAGTCAGAGGAGCCTTCACTTGATCTTCGATTTCTCTGGTTTGGCTTGAATTTTCTATCCCAGCTGAGCCTCTGTGTCCACGTGATACTTCTCTAAGTTAAGTTCCTAGACACAGGTTCTTCAAGATGGGACAGAGCCCCATCTCCCCCATCAGTCTCACGTGGGATCATATGCGCAGACCGGGGTTCCCACGGGCTATGAGGGCAGAAAAGGCCTCCGACCTCCCAGGTTGTTATTTATTTTTAAAATATATTTTATTGATTTTTTTTTTACAGAGAGGAAAGGAGAGGGATAGAGAGTTAGAGACATTGATGAGAGAGAATCATCGATCAGCTACCTCTTGCACACCTTCTACTGGGGATGTGCCCGCAACCCAGG